CTCCATCAGGGCTCCTGCACCCACGTACTGCACAGACGTTTCACACACACACAAGCACACACACACCTCCATCAGGGCCCCTGCACCCATGTACAACACAGACGTTTCACACACACACACACACACACACACACACACAAGCACACACACACACCTCCATCAGGGTCCCTGCGTCCACGTACAGCACAAACATTTCTTTGAAGATTCAGCACGCACACACATCGTATAAACACAAAGGGATCTATGTGCACAGACAACCTGCTGGTCCAAGGGTACCAGGGTCTTTCTCTACACTGGTTTCTAAGGTGGCGGTTGTTTTTTGAATGGGACGTAGGATAGGCCTCCTGGACCAACCAGCAGAAATACGGGGCGTGTGAGGGAGTCGGGCCATCCCTTCTGACATTTGTCACCCTTGCAAGCGTCCGAGTGTCTGAGTGGGGCGTCGTGGATCCACGGAACTTCCCAGTGGGCTAGCCCTGGCTCCCCCCTCCCGCTTGCCCTGGGCCCATGGGGAGGCTCTTACTACATCCATCCTCATCGCTGTGGTCACCGCAGTCATTGTCTCCGTCACACTGCCACTGGGCCGGGATGCAGGTGCACTCGCCAAGGGCACTCACAGCGCACGTGAAGTGACTCCGGCCGCAAGCACACTCGGGGCTGCTGGCCAGGCCTGGGCAGAGGGAGAAGGGGACGGTGAGGGCGGACTCTGGTTCCCACTCCCCCACAGCTCATTCTGGGGCTGGGGACAGGAGCACAGTCTAAGGACATGGCCCTCCTACAATGCAAGGAGACGCAGGTGACCCGATCGTGCCTTCGTCCCCTTCCTCTGGGGCACACACAGTCATGACAACACCCTCTGACTTTGGGCTGGCAGATGGCCCGGGTGCCCCCTCCTGAGTGACGGAGCTGGTCTACAGAGAAGGATCAGGCCACCAGGAGAGCTAGTGCTCTCCGGGAAAGGGGAGCAGGGGACTGACGGGGTGACGTAGGGAGATCTTCATTTCCTTCCCCCAAAGCTAGGTTGTGAGATGGGTGGTTTTGCTTCTGTCCAGAACCAGACCTGTGGCCCGTGGTCCCTGAAGGGCAAGATCTACAAATATTCATGAGGACAAACTCCTGCCAGGGCTTGAGAAAGAGCCCTGCCAGGAGACGAGGAAGCAGGAGAGGGCCAGTGGCTGGGACCAGGGTCTTCCTGACTGAGGGACAGGCCCCGCCCCCAGTCTCTTCCCCAGACTGCAGCTGGGCTTCCCTATTGAGCATCCAGCTATCGGCCTGGCCAAGTCCTATGACTGGCTGTTGTGCCCCCACCTCGGCATGCCCAGCATGATGCCCTCGGATGGCGTGTGAATGGCTCGGTGCCCCTGCTCCAGCCTCAGCTGGAACAAAGGGTTCTGCCAGGGTCACTCTCCCCCCTTCCCACTATTCATCTAGCCCGCTGGGCTGCTTGCAGCTGGGGAACAAGGGGACACAGCTCATGGCTGATCCCCCAACCCCCCCGCCCCTCCCCGGGGGTTTCATCTCCCCTTCTTCCCATCGGCTGGGCTGGAACCCGGGAAAGAATCAGCTCTGCCTCCTCTCTTGACCGGGCTCAGCTTCTCTCTTGTGGCCCATCTTCTTGATGTGCACACTTGTCTCACCTTAGGAATGATTGTCCTGCTTGGGCCAAGAATGAATGAATGGGTATACCGCTCTCCCTCCAAGAACAGAGAGAGCCCGAGGTGTCAGTGTGAGCACAAGGCAGCCCTTTCCAACCAGTGGAAGGATGGATGGATAGATGGTTGGAAAGGAGGGAGGATGGATGGAATTTGGGAACTCCTGAAACTACAGGCAAGTGGGCGTTTCTGGGGAAAGAGATTACAGCTTTCACCTAACCCCCAACTGAGACCTTTGCCTGTTCTTCCAGACACTTAGGTCCTGAGATGGAGGATTTCCTGCAGAAGCTCCGGGGAGTCTGGGAGGTGTCACATCTCTAGGCCTCACCCAAAAGCACACTCCAAGCCAGTGCTTCTGTCTCTCCGGGTGACCCTGCATGTTCAGGGCAGTGGAGCCTTTCCCAGGGAAGCTCTGGAGACCCAGCCCTGGGCTTGCAGGTCGCTGCTGAGAGTGTGGAAAAAGGGTTTCTCGGGAGAGCTTTAGGCATGTAAATGGCTCACCCCCATGATAGGCACCCACTTTAGGGGTGCATTCTCGCTAGATCACACAGGAATCCACTACTCTCTAGGGTGATTCTGACGCATAGCAACCCTTTAAGACAGAATAGACCTGCCCCTGGGGGGTTCTAAGACTGTACCGCTTTATGGAAGCAGAAAGTCTCATCTTTCTCTTGAGGGGTGGCTGGTGGTTTTGAGCTGTTGACCCTATGGTTGGCATCCCAGCGAGTAACCCGCTGCACCACCAGGGCTCCTTGCTTGAGGACACAGGAAGGAGTAAGTATTCCAGAGAGCTTTGTGCCCTGGGACTCCCGACACACAGACCCCCTTGGTGAGGAGGTCCTGTGAGGAGGCGAAAGGAGGGCTGATCATGCAGGGAGGGGGCAGCTTCCCAGGGGGCACCTGTCGAGGTCTGGAGAGGTCTGGGGTCATCGTGACCAGCAGTGCTACCAGGCAGAGATGCTGCTAAACATCCCATGATGCACGGGGCAGTCTCATAGCAAAGAGTTCTCATTGGCTTAAAATGCCATCAGGGCTGAGGTAGGAAACACACAGCGAGCCACGCACAGGAGGGAGTGGGGAAGCATGGGGGGGGGGGGCGAGGGGCACGGGGCACCCAAGAGCAGGGAAGGAGGAAAAGGGGGAATCTGAGGGAGAAGGACAAAGCAGACCGAGCTGGTTACATGGACCCTTGCTCAGTTTCGTCGACTGTGAAGAAAAAAAGTCACCAAGCTGCTGGACATGACACTCTCTGTGAAGAAACTGACCTGGTCAGAACTGGGCACACCAAAGATGCTCAATCAATGGAGGCTGGCAGAGTGGAGGCGTGGGAGTCGGAAAGCCAAGTTCTCCCCCAAGGGGAAGCCAAGGAGCTGAGCACCAGCTTGGGAAAGCAAGGAGCATCGCGGTGGCCTGGGGCGGCATGCGAGCGGACAGGACGGGATGCTGAAGGTCAAGAGGAATCCTCCCTGCCTTTGCCAGGGCTCCACCTCCACTTGTCGGGGAGCGAGAAGAGGAACTGGGATTAGATGGCACAGGCTCCAGGGAAAAAGCGTTCCATTGGGGTGGGG